GTATATAAAAATAATATAGGAAGAAAAATATTCGCGGTAGATAAGATTATATATTGGTATGGATAGGAAGATGAAAGTATTCTCAAGACATTTGAGGGATGTACGACGGGAAATAAGAAAGGAGATGGAGGACTTAAAAGACGAAATAATGTTTAGAGAGGAAGACTGGAAAAGGGAAAGAAATGAATTAAAAGAAAGAATAGAGAAATTAGAAACGAGACGGGTGGAGTATAATGAGAATGGACAAAATAATACGAGGCAATTAGAACAAGAGAATAATACAAGGAATTCATCGAGCCTCATCACTTCTACCTCGAGTACATTCCGATCGCAAGGTGCCCGGCCAGCTTCTGGTAATTATGAAGGTACATCTCGATGTAACAGTGATGGTATTGCAAACAACTGGTCGGCAGGTACTTCTGGCACACCCGCCAGAAATGCGCAAAGTCAGAATTCTAATGTTGCTAAACCGAATGGATCAAACAGGCCAAATGTCGCAAGTACAGTATCGGACACTAGAGAAAATAATTCTTTCCGGATTAAATCAGACGATGCCAACAGATCAACAAATAAATCAAATCAATCTGCGCCCGGAAATTCTCGCAATGCGAATAATACAACTAATACTGATGATGATAGTGCTAAGATTATGTGTCATTGTCGGAAGCCTGCGATTCAATTAATTAAAAAAGACGAACTATGTAAAGGTGAGTGACATCTACATGCAAATGCGATTTGTAATCACAATAAGTTCACTTTGGGTAACGTTTGTAATTTCAGAGCGTAGATATTACAAATGCGCTAACAGTAATAAATCGCAGGAAATCCGTTGCGACTTTGTGTTGTGGGCATCTGACAGTGCCAATCAGTCTCAAAGTAATGCAACGGACGAATATTCAAGTTCAACATCTAAGGATATCAATAAATTAGTAAAGAAATTAAATCAATCTGCGCCCGGAAATTCTCGCAATGCGAACAATACAACTAATACTGATGATGATAGTGCTAAGATTATTATGTGTCATTGTCGGAAGCCTGCGATCAAATTAGCTAAAAAAGAGGGTTCATATAAAGGTGAGTGGTACCTACATGCAAATGCGATTTGTAATCTAATAATCTAAGTCCAATAAGTCACTTCGGGTAATATTTGTAATTCCAGGTCGTCTGTATTACAAATGCGCTAATAAACTGTTTGGAAGCCGTTGCAACTTTTTTCTATCGGCATCTGACAGCACCAAGTCTCGAGATAATGTAGCGAACGATTATTCAAGTTCAGTATTTAACATGGATAAAAGCTGCAAAAGCGCTGGAACTTCTAATAACAAGTTGAGAAATTTATTCACAAGTAATGTTATGTGCAACTGTAATCGACCCGCTCTAAAGTGAGTAAAATCTCCGATCGGAAAAAATGAAAAACTTTTTCGATACGAACACGTATTGATTAGTAATTAATGAGTTGAAGTCTCAATTAATATTCCCAATTAATAACTTCTATCTACTAACAACTAATATCTAATGTGTGTAAAAATAATGTCTTTAGGCTGAAGTCTCAGACTGATCCCGATAAACGATCGTGTTACTTATGTCCTAACTCCATTTGTCATTTTGTTAAATGGGAGAACATTGATAGTCGCAAGAACACGAATCGGAGCAATTATAATTCCAGAGCCCTCAAAATACCTAAAACCGAGAGCAAAAGAAGGTGTGGAATTTGCAGAAGAGAAGGTAATGTGTAAAGAACTTAAATTTTTTTTTGTCATAATCTTTTCCCTCTGTGTCCCATTAATTTTTTTTTAAATATCACCATTTTTATTGTTCTCAATCGTAATCTAAATTGTATATATTATTTTCTAGTATCTAAATTGTATATATTATTTTATATTTTGTGTTGCTCTTTTACAGGTCATACGAGGATTAATTGTCCAGCTCGGAGATAAGGCATGTACTTTTGACAAGGCAAATCGTATTCTCATTTTACGTAAAGAATTGCTATCGGCCGATTTATAAATTACACTATTTTGTCTTCATTTTATCCAGTCTTTATTCTGGATCGTTCGTGATCAGACATCAATTAATTTTCGTCACAATATATATGCACTCGATCGCAATCGTCATGACGTTCCGTTAATAACATTTTGAATATTTTCGAAATCAAACCAAAAACGCTAACTCATAACACTAACTTATAGACCGAGGACAAATTTTTTTAGATATATTTATTGTAAATATATAATATACAATTTGTAATGATTGGAGTTGTAAAAAGCTTAATTAGAAGCAGTGTCAAACACGGCTTTTATATGTATATCTAAGATGTCTGTCTTATTGAAGCGATAACTCTTATAAGTATTAAAAGTTAAAACGTCCATTTGAAAGAAGTGGTTCGATAATGTTTATAGTTGCTGTTTGTATTCCAATTTTAAGCAGCGCAAGTTACAATATATTTAATTACAGATTAAATGATACTCGTGTGTTATAAGAAAAATTATTTTTCATCCGCTCCAATTCTTCTTTCTGTAAATAAAACCGATTGTGTTAACTGTAAGAAAACTATACATAATTGTCGATAATAATTATTAATGTGCTTCTATCAGCGTTCTGCTATAAAATTGATAATGATACATTTTTTATAAATATTTAAATGCTACAGGAAGGTTTCCAGCAAGAGACACATATCGACACAGAATTTAAGTTATTCTATCTTTCATAGATATTAAATGAAAAATAAAAATGAGACTCCCGTGCTGATATAATCGATATTTTTGACTAAGATATAGTCAAAGGTCGACATATATATGTATCTTGCTTAATTTTATTTAGTCATGATATGTAAGATGATGTGATATGTAAGTAAAGTAAGATAGTACAATTTCGAACATGGTACAATTCTGTACGAAATATCATTTTAAATTTCAAAAATTAAATTAAAATATGTTTCGCACAGAAATTGTACATACATACCATGTTCGAATTTGTATCACGTATCCTACAGATGGCAGCTATTCCCGCCACGGAGTGACTCATGCGACTACAATGCGACTGTGCCGGCGGCCGACTGCGGAGTAGCCGGCGCCGGAGGCGCCGGAGCGCAGCTGCCTCACCGCCCTCACCTCAGTTAACTTCGGAGATTAAGACTGCGTCTGAGGAATGCGTTATCAGCGTTTTGCATGATTTTATCTTTTTTCTACGAACAATCGAGGAGTAACAGAATAATAAAATTAATAACACGCCCCTCGAACGCAGCCTGGCTGTGGAGGCACGATTCTTTATATAAAAACTTTGTGGTTAACGAGCCGTTGTTTTTTAACGACATAAATTGTTGGAGTAAAAAGAAGTGAATGTGCAGGTAAAAGGAATGAGAAAAAGGAATTAAAACGAAGTATAAGGCCGAAAGGAAAAAGGGAGTAAGTGAGAAGATAAAGGGATTGAAAGACGGGCGAAAGAATTGGAGGTTAGGTATGACAATCTTGGATACTTGGATTAATTAAAGAGAAAAAAGTGAAGTAATAAAGGTAATAAAGCGCTGAGAAAGGAAGAAATAAGAAGAAAGGTCAAGGGTGAAAAGGCGAAATTAGGAAGAGAATTGCAATTTCGGAAAAAGTAACAGGTAGTAACAGGTAGTAACAGAAGTAACAGGTGAATAGGGAAGAAGAAAAGGGAAGGATTAGGATTGAGGCGATAATATCTCAGAGACGAAAGAGAGAGAGAGAGAGAGAGAGAGAGAGAGAGAGAGTGAGGAAATAAGGTGAGAAAGACGAAAGTATAAAGACAAGGAGAATATTTGGTAGATAAAATTCTATTAGTTACATAGGAGAATGGATGTACATGTGGCTATGAATACGCATGATAGGAATGCAGGAAGAAGTAATGAGTTATTGGAAATAAGAACGGAGATGGAGAAAATGAAAAAGGAAATGGTGTTTAGAGAGGAAGAGTGGAAAAAGGAAAGAAATGAATTCAAAGGGACAATAGAGAAATTAGAAAAGCAAATGACGTTCAATGAGGAAAAATGGAAAAGGGAAAATAATGAGTTCAAAGAAAAAATAGAGAGATTAGCCATGAGATTGGAAGAGTACGATAAGATTGAGCAACATATGGATATGGTGCAGGTGAAACAGGAGGATAATTCAATGAACGTCACCTCGGATGCGCCTCAACTGCAAACTATCCAGCCAAGCACCAGTAGAATGGAATCTACTCGAGGTAACGACGTTGACAACTCGACGGCTGGAACTTCTGGCACATCCGAAAATGCACAGGGCCAGAATTCTAATGTTTCTAAGCCGAGTGGATCAAACAACCCAAACGTCTCAATTACAAATACATCGGACAATAGAGAAAATAATACTTCCTTACTTAAATCGGAAAATGTCAACAGATCAGGAAACGAAACAGATCAATCTGCGCCTGGAGATTCTCGCAACATTGACAATACAACTAATACTAATAATGATAATGATGAGATCAAGTGTTATTGTGACAAGACTGCAATCCAATTAACAGTTAGAAAAGATGGACCAACTAAAGGTGAGCAATACAACAACTGTATATAAATGCGTTTGATTTGTCGCGTCAGTCAAATATCTTTAAATAACATTTGTAATTTCAGGACGTCTGTTTTACAAATGTTCCAATAAATTGCAAGGAAAGGGTGGTTGTAAATTTTTCTTCTGGGCATCTGACAGCGCCAAGGCTCAAGTTAATACGGCGAACAAACAATCAAGTTCGGTGTCCAATCTGGACAGAAACAACACTGATCACCTCTCTCGCGCTGGCACTTCTAATAACGATTTGGGAAATACATCTGCAAATGATGTTACGTGCAACTGTGATCAGCTCGCTATAAAGTGAGTAAAATTTTCGGAAGAAATAATAAACTGTTTCGGTCGGATACATATTGATGTCAATAATTAATCAATTGATATCTTGTTTAATATTGCCAATTAAAAGTTTCACTATGTCTTTAATATATGTAAAAATATTTGCGCGCGTATCTTTAGGTTGACGGTTCACAAAGATGGCCCCAATAAAGGACGACAATTTTATGGATGTCCTAAGGGACGGAACATTGGTTGTAATTTTTTCAAATGGGCAGACGAGGATGACGCTAATGATGAGAGCACAAACGGGGGCAATTCCACTACGAGAGGAACATGGAATAACGTACGCAGACCATCCCCTCAAAAAGAAGACAATGCCGCCAAAAGGCGTAAAGTTGCCGAGGGCGAAAGAAAGTGCGGAAATTGCAGATTGAAAGGTAATGTGTAAAGAACTTATCTTTTTTTATCATAATCTTCTCTTTTCTCTCTCCCATTAACTTTTTTTTATAAATAGCAACATTTTTATTGTTCTCAATTATATCTATTATCGTATCCAAAAGGCATACGTTATTTTACATTCTACTCTGTTCTTTCACAGGTCATACGAGGACCACATGTCCAAATGGAATTGCAGTGCCGGGAATATTCATTCCGATGGGGGGATTGTAAATGTGCAATGGTATAAGTAAAGAAGTGCTATCAGGTTTTGTCCAGTCTTTATTCTGGCTCACTCGATGATCAGTCGACTTTCGTCATAAAATCCAGTCTTTATTCTGGTGGACTCGATAGTCATCGACTGACTATCGTTATAATATGTACTATATCAGTATTGTCACATTCCGCTAGTAAAACTTTGAATTTCCAAAGAAGCCGCTAACTTGTAACATAGAACGAAGATTGACTAACAAATGAAGTTTTTCAAATATATATTTTTTATTGCAAACAATGTAGTTTATAACGATTGGATATAAAAAGCTTTATTATAATGGAGCAGTGTTAAATACGGTTTTTATATCTGACTTTATATAAGACTTTATATAAGACTACTTCTGCCTTATTAAATGATAACTTTTATAAGTATTTGAAGCGATTCAATAATTAATATCGCTTTATAATGGTTGTTTGTATTACAGTAAGCGGCGTAAGTTACTGTTAATGTTTGATAGACTAAACGACAACTCGTTTATTATGAGAAAAATTATGTTTCAATCTCTCCAATTCTTCTTTCTGCGAGTGAACCTCGGCGGTTGTTTGCGTTAACTATAAAACAATAGGTAAATTAAAATACACGTTAACGACAAAATCCTGCTTTTATTTAGCATTCTACTATGATATATATTATGATGAACTTATTCCATATACTTATATATACATGTATGTACAGTGGTGGACAGAATTGTTGCGACACTTTTTCTTAATTTGGTTTTGGAACGCACTAATATTTTGCAAATGCGAATCACGATTGGTGTACTGTCTTTAGACTAAAGATAGCACACCAATTGTGGTTTTGCATTTGCAAAATATTAGTGCGTTCCGAAGCCAAATAAAAAAAAAGTGTCGCAAAAATTCTGTCCACCACTGCGTTTATCGGTTCAGGGATTAATATTATCTTAGATTAAATCAATATATTAATATTATCTTATATTATATCAATTTAATATTAATTTTGTAACTTTTTGAAAGGCTCAAAGTAAAGAAAGAGTACCATGTCTAAAAGCACGTCGAACTTTAGCTTTAACAGATTGTTCTCTTCCTCCAGTCGCCTCACTTCCTTTTTTAACTTTTCATTCTCTTTGAAAGTACCTCCCACCTTGCCAGATTCTGAGCAAAAAATTATTCTCTTATTATATGTAATTGAAAAAAGATGTAAGGGTTTCTGCACGGCAAATGAAATGTTTGTTCACCTGGAATCCAAAGGCCAGCCTCAAAAACAGCTTCCTGATCTCCAAGGCGAAGGCGTATAGGGCCCACTTCCGGGCCGAGCTCCTTCTCTATTCGTTTTGGGCTTAAATTTTTGTTTGCCAGGAAAACGGACGCCTTTCTGGTCGGTGTTTTCTTGGGGGAAAACTTATTGAAGAATAAAGGCATCGCGTGAAAAGCGCTCTCGTAAAAAACGTCAGACAACGCTAAGTGGTTTTTAAGACTATAGCATTGACCAGCAGAAAATTTACCTAATCATTACAAAGAAAGGATAATGTAACTACGAACACTGGTAATCACTGTGTCTCACAGTACAGACGTTATACGACGTCCTAAACAATATTAGCATATTAACATAATAATAACAATTATCTTAATCTAAATTAAATTTTTTTTTTAGAGCTGAACCTCTGCTGAACAAAACGCGAAAAGCGTCATGTTTGTTTATCCTATCGTTGCCTAGGCAATTCTTTTGAATTTGGAACGGAAGGTCGGACGATCGACCAATCGAAGGATCGATTATCTCTTCGATTAATTTTATGTCAGTTATCTTTTTTTTTTCTACGTTGCCGTGCTTCATTTACGAGAGTTCCCCAGCTGGCAAGTGGCAGCCCTTGATACACTTGGCGCCTTCGCCGCGCGAGGCCTCTCCTCTCAGTGCCTCTCAGCTCGCCTTGGTTAACCTTGGAATCACCTGTCGTGTATTGTCATTCATCTCCGATTCGGGAAAGTTGGGAACGCGTGAATCTCGCGTGAACGCTTTCGGGCGAACGGGACGAGGCAAGGCGGGCGAGATACAAAATTGTCATGCCGCGTTCTCGCGACGCGATGAGTAACGGGAAGTTGTGTAGCGTTTCGTGGTAGAGAGGCACCCGGCGCGTCTCGTTTCCGTTTCGCTCGACCCTCCGACCGTCGTCAATAACCTCGCCCTCGCCGGTAACACCACCATGGCCTGGCTCGGCACGATCGCGAACAACGTGCTGCGGAACATCGTCTTCTCGGACGCGCCGCCGAACGTGGTCCAGGAGGTGCGGCCGGAGCAGTACAGCGATCGGCACATACATTCCCGCGAGGACGGCATCGTTCTCTACGGGCCCGGCAAGAATCAGGACAAATATGAGATCGTCCTGCACAGGCCGTGCACGGAGACCTTGCATCAGGCGTACAGGTACGTCTTATTGACTCGTCATCTTGTTGCGAGAGAATATATTGTAATTGTAAATGTGTTGTTTTTTTTTGTATGAATCATTTGTGATGTAATAACCAGTTGTAATCATTGTTTTCTCTCTTGAAAGCAACCGTATTTAGCATAATGCTTGCGAAAACAACATTTCGTAATGTATCTATTGATAACAATATCTCAAATTTTTCATTTTAGTTTTGTACTATTATTTTTCAGTTGATTTTTATCAGCAGCCTTTTGGATGGCCTTCTTGACGTTTAAATGTTTGTTTTCAGTCTGTTTCGGTCGGAAACTCTAGAAGGTGTGGAGGTACGATTCTCAATATATAAAGACAAGGTTCCTGTACTTGTGCAGATAGTGCGCGAGGTAATGTTTCTTCATATTTTATATATGTTTATGTACAATTGTGGACACATCAGTTGCGACACTTTCTTTTTTATAGATTTCAAAACGCACTAATATTTTGCAAATGCGGACCACAGTTGTGGTGTTATACTGTTTCCAGACTAAAGATAGTACATCGTGATTCACATTTGCAAAATATTAGTTATCTGTAAAGTATATATTATGTATATTAAATATATATTAGAAACCTAACCTATAAAAAAAAGTATCGCAACCGATGTGTCCACAGCTGTAGTATATTTTAAAGAAATTATATTTACATATTATGTTCCTTTATCTTTCATATGTAATTTGAAAAAAGATTTGCTAATCAATAATATTTTAAAATTAATCTATATAATTAGTAATAATTGATCTTTTTATTCTCCCTCTAAGATGTGCCATGTTGGAAAAATTCAAAAACTCTGCGACACTCTGGTGGAACACCCGACATGGACTTTAGCACATCTAGCGGCCTACTTCGCCCTTCACGATGCGTTCATGCACGCGATCGTCAACAGCCAGCTCAACAGCGGCGACCTGGAGACCGGCATCTCACCCCTGCAAGTTGCCGTGCAAACCAACAATCTGCGCACCGTCGAGATGCTGATAGCGGCCAAGAGCTCGCTGGAGCATCTGGATCACAACGCGAACACCGTCTATCATTACGCGGCTACGTCCACCAAGGAGATCATTCTTGCTCTGGGCTCGGGTCTTCCAAACAGTTTGAACAGCCGTAACAGCAACGGCCACACCCCCATGCACGTCGCGTGTCTGAACGACAGGCCCGAGTGCGTGAAGGCGCTCCTGCTGATCGGCGCCGACGTGAACATACCCGCTTCCGAGGGCCAGCCAACCAGCCCCGGCTACGTCGGCGACTTCCTGCACAACGCGAAGCCGAACGTGCTCCACGCGGAGGACATGAAGTTCGGCGGCACGCCGTTGCACTGGTCGCGCAGCCGCGAGGTGATCACGGCGCTGATCGACACCAACTGCGACATCGACGCGCTCAACTTCGACGGGCGCACCGCGCTGCATGTGATGGTGATGCGCAAGCGGCTGCCCTGCGTGATCGCCCTGCTGAGCCACATGGCGTCCGTCAACATCGTCGACAACGACGGCAACACGCCGCTGCATTTCGCGGTCGAGGCGGAGACACCGGCCATCGTGCAGGCGCTCATCGGCTTCGGCGCGGACATCGACGCGCGAAACTGGAAGGCGGAAACGCCCCGGCACAGGTCGAATGTCGACACTACTGAAGGTAACAAGATAATTTACTTGTTGCACGCGGTGGGCGCGCAGAGGTGCCCGCCGGAGATGACGGGCTGCCATCTCGGCTGCAAGCACGATGAGAACTACACCGGCATCGCGCCGTCGGAACCGCCGCACTACGTGCCGCGCACGATTCTCGATCAGATGCTACACGTGTCCGGCATGGAGAAGATGGCCGAGCCTGGAAACCGTAAACGGATCAAGGGCGGCAGGTTGCTCTGTCTCGACGGCGGCGGTATTCGGGGACTGGTGCTCATGCAGACGCTGCTCGAGATCGAATCGGTGCTACAGAAGCCCGTGGTGCACTGCTTCGATTGGATCGCCGGCACGTCCACCGGCGGTATCCTGGCGCTCGGCCTCGCCGCGGGTAAGTCCCTACGGGAGTGCCAGGCGCTCTACTTTCGCATTAAGGAGAACGCCTTCGTGGGTTCGCGGCCGTACAACAGCGAGGGCCTGGAGAAGGTGCTGAAGGAGTGCCTCGGCGCCGACACCGTCATGGCGGACATTCAGAAACCGAAGATAATGATCACGGGCGTGCTCGCCGATCGCAAGCCCGTGGATCTTCATCTGTTCCGCAACTACGAGTCGCCTAGCGTGATATTGAAATTACCGGAGAACCCGATGTTCAAATCGACGTTGTCGTCGCAGGAGCAATTGCTTTGGAAAGCGGCGCGGGCCACCGGCGCGGCGCCGTCGTATTTCCGCGCGTTCGGCCGTTTCCTGGACGGCGGTCTGATCGCTAACAATCCCACCCTGGACGCGATGACGGAGATCCACGAGTATAATCTGGCGCTGAAGGCTACCAACCGCGAGAGCGAGGTGATACCACTGTCGCTGGTGGTCTCCCTCGGCACGGGTATTATACCGACCACGTGCAACCTGAACGAGATCGACGTTTTCCGGCCGGACAGCATCTGGAGTACTGCCAAGCTCGCGTTCGGTATCTCGGCGCTGGGCACGCTGCTGGTCGATCAGGCGACAGCCAGCGACGGCCGCGTGGTCGATCGCGCCCGCACCTGGTGCTCCATGATCGGCGTGCCGTACTACAGATTCAATCCGCAGCTGTCGACGGAAGTCGCCATGGACGAGAAGAACGACGAGATACTGGTGAACATGATCTGGAGCGCGAAGGCGTTCATGCACGCGAATCGAGATGTGATGCAGGAATTGGCGACCATCATCGGGCGCGACTCCAGTTTGGAGCAGGATTAAGGAGAAGGACTGAAAGAGTACCATTTATCGTCGAAAACGAGTACCTGATTGCGGAAATCACGTCGCGCGCACGTATACACACACATTCACCCTCGGTAATTATATCGACGATTTTACCGCTGGCTCGGTTAATGATTACACGTGTAATTATGTGCTTAGCAATTATCTCGTTACGTAGCGTGTATTATATAGTTACTTCTTCACCGCTACTTGCCGATGTCTCGACAAATGTGATATTAGGTTGCCTTGTCCCTCCTTTCCCTCCGCAGCTGCTCATATTCTAGACAATGTGATTTGTACGAGACGCTTTCGTCTTTTCCTCTTTTCATGATTTTACCTTATTGTCAGTAGTGATTCAATTTTTTTCTCCTAGTCACTCGTGAAAATCTTGTGGGGTAATACACGTAGGTTAATATACATATATAATTTTTTTTTACACAATTTATTAATCTGCTCGTAAGTTCTGTGTTTTAAAAACATTTTCTCTCGTTCTTTGCAAATAGTCTCGAAGAATTTAAACATTGAACACGTTGAACTGTAACTCAAGAATACTTAGATAATAGATCTGTTTTATTTGTATTGTGTCACAGAGTTTACAGAGGGAAGAATAAATTAAAAAAAAAAAAAGAATTACAAGGCGATCGAATAATAATATCTCGCTTTGTAGAATAAAGTTTATCGTTATTAATTTATCGTTAAGTACAACAACCGCTATCGTTTAAGTACTTTACACAATTTTATTAAGCGCACGACATTCGACTGAATTAAATTTTAATGGATCGCTAATGGACGATCGCGTACGCTCGAAGTTTATGAAGCGCACACACGTATACACACACACACACACACACACACACATATACACACAGGTCGTTGCAAAATTTCTGCGTAATATCAAGACTCGAGTGAAACACGATTTGCAATCTCAGAGCGGTCCTGGTTTCATTCATCGGAAACATTGCCTCGACTAATTTGTAGCAAATAGTTTCCTATCCGACGGGCAATGGTTTACGATTTTATTGTACTCGATATGCACCGCGCGCGCAATCTCACTCGTGAAAATCTCCCAAGAATTGTCTCGTGTTGTCGCCCATCGTCGGCAGTCTATCGGGGTCCCATGTAGTACGGCGGTTGCGCCATGGACGCCGATATGTAGGGGTAAAAGGAGGGATGCGACGACACGCTCTGCGGCTGGTAGTCGTTCTCCTCGCCGTGCACGGTGTACCCCTCCGCGGTAGGGTAGTATTGTCCATGTACACAGGCGTACGGCGCCTTGGCGGCAGCGGCGGCCGCGGCGGCGGCGGCCGCGCCGCTGCTCATCTCCGCGGGATACTTGAGACCGTCCGGGTATCCCTTGGCTTCCGGGTACTTGGGCAGATCGTAGGGTTTCGCCTGCAGATCCGGGTACTTGGCCGCCGCCGACTCGTGGTGGTGATGATGATACTTGGCGCCGACCATCTCGTGGTGGTACTTGGTGCCGGTCATCTCGTGATGATGGTACTTGGCTACCTCGTGGCACTTCGCCTCGGCGTAGCTTCTGGCCGTCGTCTCGTACGTCGACTTGTTGGCGTGATCGGCGGCGGGATACTTGGCGACCGTCTCGTTCACCCAGACCGGCCGAGCTAGGTCGTACGCGCCGGACTTGGGCTCGTGGTAGGCCGCCGGTCGCTCGTACGCCTTCACGCCGGCGTCCGGATACAGGCGCGCGTAGGTGCAGTCCGAGGAGCCAGCTGAGGAGTCGAAGGAGGTCCCCGGCGACGGAAGTCCACTCCTGTGCACGATGATGCCCATCTGATCGTCCGACTTCGGCTTCCTGCGACGAGGTTGGTACTACGAACGATACCACATGTTATGTTTAAATTATAGTCATCTCAAGACGTCTCGCTGGAATCATTTATCGCGTTACGAGAAGCGAAAAATTTTATCAATTTTTTTTTCGCTGTAGAAATTTTTCGTGCCCGACGTAACTCGATATGATTGCAGCTAAGGAGTGCAGTGAGTTTAATTCTAAAAAGAATATATGTCCTTAAGAGAGGATATATCTTTTTATTCCTACTCTGAAATCCGTCAAATAATCCCAAATGAATTAATATTGTAATTTAGTACAAATCGACATACAATTTATTTTAAAAAATTTCAAAGTTTTATGTGTTGTTCTACATCTCTGTCTATTTTGCATTCTACTTATCGCTTTTCTTTTTATTCAATTTGCCCATTTTGCGTTATAATGCCATATTTTTAATTTCTAGAGATCTTTTTACACGTATATTTCTTTGTGCATATTATACCTACATATCTTATTAATAACAAATTTCGTATACAAATGTAAAGTTGTTATTAAACAAAATTTATGAAATCGCGCTTTTCAGCTGCGATCGGTTAGATTAGATGAATCTAATTGATTAAATTAGCGGATAGATTGAACAAGTTAATCGTATGTTGTTTCTTTTTTCGAAAAAGCTACTTGAAATCGGTAAAAGCTCCACTTTTTCCGCGTCCCGTCCACCACGTCTCGTCCCCTCCCCCGTCGACTTTCTCGCCTCGCATGGAGCGGCGACACGGATGGCTTCATCGCGGTGAATCCATTTCCCCTTCTCGTAAATCATCGCCGACGCGCGGCGCGGTGGGATTTAAATCGCTCGGACGATCGGGCCTCGATTAACCACTCGAGCGCTCTGTGAGAGACGAATGCGCGATTTGCACGCGCTAATTCGTTCCGCTATTCCGCGCGAATCGGGCCGCTCGATCGCGAACCGGCCGCGCGATTTCGTAACGCGCGAGATACATTCCTCGTGCTATTCCTAATGACGCGCGCGATTAAGACGCGAGCGCGTAATTCCGCGCGCCGCGGACCGCGTGTCGTCGATCCGGTCGATTCGGCGGTCGGTTACCTTGTAGTGCGGATGCTGCTTCTTGTGCGCGTTCCGCAGTCTCTCGGCTTCCTCGATGAACGGCTGCTTCTCGCCGTCGCTCAGGATCCTGCGATATAGATACAATTCGTAATCTTCGGTATCGTTACAAAACGGGAGGGGTATTCAAAAGAATCGAACTTTACGGCATATATAGATATTGAATTGATACGATATACAAAGATCGATAGATATTTCTTCGCCTACTTCTACTTTTATTCTTTCGATGTTTTATTAGCGTTCAAAGTACTGATTGCCTTATACATGGAATATTTTTTTTGATATTAGTCATGTGCAGCTTTAATTTTCATAACTTTCTCGTTCTATACGTGATATTGAATTGATCTTTAAAAAACACTTAAATTTTAATTTGATTTGATTTGATTAGTGCGAAATATATGTATTAAGAGTGATTTATTTAAAATAAAAATTGTTTTAAATATATATGAATTGGAAGAGGTGAATCTCTTGTTTCATCGAATCGCGTCTACCAAATTTGAATCGATTGAATTTATTTTTTTTCCCGAGGACATTAAAATTGTTATTCACAATGCCTTGCTCTTTAGACAATCTGTGGACTAGAATAATTAATGCGATTTAAAGTGTTATGTAAATTGATTGCAAAACATATTTGTAGAACAAAAGAATAAATGTTAGTAAGACTGAAATTCTTTCTGAATTTCTTTGACTTACCTCTTTTACAGATTAATTTTAGAACGAAAGTTATGAAAATTTAAACGCTTTACACAAAGACCTTATAATCATCCTGTAAAAAATTCGAATGACTCGTTTTCATTGATAATCTTTTACGCGTCTTTGCCTATATCTGGCCGAAGTTAGATTACCTCCACAATTTTCCCAACGTCTTCGACAGCTCGGCGTTGTGCAATTGCGGATACTGGTCAGCTAGTCTTCGCCTTGCCGCCTGCGCCCACACCATGAAGGCGTTCATCGGGCGCTTCACGTGGGCACTTCTTCGCCCGCCGGCGCGCGAAGTCACCGGAAGCAGCGTCCAATCATATCCTGCAAATAATAAACGGGCGATGGGACCTTTAATCCATATATATACGGTTTCTCCGAAATCTCGGAAAGAAATAAATTACAAGACTCTTAGCGCCTCATCATACGCGCTAGAAAAAAAAACTCGCTTCCTCCAGTTCGACCTCTGTGAAGTTGGCCCCACTTTTTTAAAATTTGACAAAAATAATTAGAATTTCGGTTGCCCCCCGAAGAGTTCTAGAGTTCTCTCTATCGATTTTAGAAAGAATTTTGTTGATTAAAGCGATGAAAACACCATTTGAAGACATGGGGGGGGGGGCAACTTCATATTTCTGTAACTTTAAAGGCCATAACTCTTTTGTTTTTCATTTTAGCGCTTTGATCATTCAAGATAATTGATACATCTTCTTTGGAAGACTATCAAAACTCTCAAGAAATTGCCGGAATTCCAAAAAAATTTTTGAAAAAGAGTTATGGCCTTTCAAAGTTACAGAAATGTGAATTCCCCATGTCTTCAATTGGTGTTTTTAACGCTTTAATCAACAGAACTCTTTCTAAAATCTCTATAGAGAACTCTAGAATTCTTCAGGAGGCAATCGAAACTCTGATTATTTTTTTCGAATTTTAAAAAAGTGGGGCAAACAGAGGTTTCCTTCTTCGTAGAAAACCTTCACAGAGGTTTCATTGTCAGTTCGATAAATTTATGTAGAACTTTGCACTCTCTCGACTTTTAGAAGTGTCTTTAATAGTATTGTATTTCAGATAATTGTTAGAAACTCTTTTGATAATCAATGGAAAAGTACTCGACTTTATCTATTTTCTTTCATCACTTCATTTATATATAATATCTGTATCCAAATTAATTAAAATCAGTTTTTCCTGACATATTCTCGTAAAGGAGGCAATCACGTAACGTATATTATATAAACGTCAACGGAATTTTCTGACTCATATCTTGCAGTATCTTACCCCTCACGGGCACCGGAAGTAGTCCTGTCCGCGAAATCGGATTGTAAAGGAATACGAGATAAAACTACACCTGTATCCTCGCGGCTCGTGCGGCCGATTCGACATTTGTTAAGCGCCGTCGGTCTTTTTTCCCTTCTTCCGTCTTCTCTTTATTTAACTTCTTTACGAAGAACGCGATAGGACTTTTACGACCTGGAAATCGTACGAAGAGATAGAAAGAAGGAGAGGGAGAGAGAGAGAGAAGCAGGGAGAGAGCGCAGAATACTCTCCCTATCGCTCTCTCGTTATTTCTTCGCATTAAGAAACTAATTATTATTACTACTCGGCAGCCGTTTTCTCTCAAACGCAAATGCCTAACTGGAATCTCAGGTCATGTGGGTCAACTTGGGATTCGTTATTTTTAGTGAAGAAAAATTCTATCTCCTCATCAAAAGATGATCACAAGTGTCAGTCATTAATCTACGAACGCGTGAGGAATATTAAAAAATTAAAAACTGCATCAAATTTTGTAAATGCCGAGTGCCTTTTCCAATTAGACTCGAACATTACTTCAACTTGAGTCGGGAAAAAAAAACATTTAACTTTTAAAGCATTAAATAATTTTGCGCTTTGCATTGCAGATGTCTTCTCATTTTGTATCTCGCATTAAAAAAATTCGGTCGAATTAGATCATGGGCGTAACGCGTCAGTGGATATGATGGGATCGAAGTTTATTACGGCGTAACAGCCTTACACCTTATGTGGAACATTAAGTGACGTAAGTGCTCCGGATTACCGAAAATTCCGCGCCGCTTAATAAGGATTCGGCTCCGGATGTAGATTCCTACATTTCACTTCGTGGGAAAGGAGCCCCCGAGCAAGCCCGAGGTCGTAAAACCTTGTCTCCCTCTTTCGAACAAATGTATACTCGACTTATGTAAATCTGTCCTGCGCTCTCTCTTTCTCTCTCTCACTACGGTCTCCTAAATCTTAATTCCCCGACTCGAAAGAGCGCGGTCTGGTCCAAATTGGAGGAGGCAGACCCCGAGGAGGAACGAGGAAGAGCCCGAGATACTGGGCGGTAATTAGGTCGGTTCGGAAATTGCGTAATATCCCGTGTGTGCGCAAGATTGATGAAATTGACTTTAGCCAGCAATTAAGCTCTCGTCTTACAACATATCCTTTTCTTCACATGACTGAAAATCACTTGGGGAAGCATACAGAATAAGGGCCATCTCGTCTAATGATTCGCTTGTTACTTTTGTATAAAAGATGCTGGAGTCTTATAGAAATGGCAAGAAGAAGCATTTCTCTCTACCTTGTCTTAATAATTTTACAGTGGAAAATGAAGATATGTCTCGCAACAGTTAATATTCTTTTTAGCCAAAGAATTGAATATACACAGAAAAAAAAAAACGATTTTGGAAGGTCCAAAAATTTTGCTGGCTACAGATCTGAAAATAATTTTGTTGAAATTCAAATTGATTGTTAGAATATCAAAACGTTTTACAGCAATTCTCATCATTTTTGAGTTTCCAACAAAAGTATTTTGATGGTCCAACAAAATTATTTTCAGATCTGCATCTAGCAAAATTTTTAAATCTTGCAGCAAAATCGTTCTTTCCGTGTATAACATTCATATTAATTTCTCTAATTCCAATATCTTATATTATTTTAACAAAATTAATATGATTATATCATGGAAAAAATATGGAAGAAAGAAGAGCATTACACGTGCAGGAATTAAAAACGTGAGATTAAGAAGATAGCTTAGATCTCAATTTAACTGCATCGAAGTGCTTTCGTTCTAATCACCATCCAGCAACGGGGGCAGGGGTGAGTCAACGAGAACGAACGGGAGAGGGGAGAGGAAGAGGGTGTGGACGAAACCAGGGGAGAGACGGTGCACGTGACGAAGCGTCAACCCGGGTTTCGGAAGGCTGGTGGGAGCTAATTACCGTGGGTCCACGGTCCACTGGCGCGGCACTTGTGTCGGCGCCTTTCAGCGTTCGGGGGAGGTCCTTCGTCGACGCCTGCGCCGATAGCCGCGGCCGAAATACAATTTTACACGGAAACGCGGAAGGGCTTTTGCGAGGAACGCGAACGGGAATAGAGGAAATTTCGCGCGAACCGGGCGGTACGTGGTCGATTAGGCGTGCAGAAAGGCATCGGTCCTTAAGGAGGGATCGGCCCCCTCTTTGAGGCCCCAATAGTACACCGACTACGTAGGTGAACCCCTCAGTCACTGGAGCCTTACGTGGAATGGCAGGAAGGAGCATTTCTCTCTGCATCCCTGTCTTTTTAATAATTTTACAGAGAAAAATGAAGACATGTCTCGCGAGTAAAGCTTAGAAAATAACGTTGTTACACGTTTATCTGAAGTTAGAATTTAGTAACAACGAGGCTTTATCTCGAGGCGACGTTGACATATTTGTTATCGGCGAATTAATCGATCTCTGGCATCGTACATACAGTCGTGTACCCGACGATAAATCCCAAATCGCGGAATTGAGAGAGCCGTTCGTACGATCAGATCGCGCCTAATTTTAAGCTTCCCCACCTCTCCGTTTCGATCTGGCTAATTACTCGGTGAATCGGCAAATCGGACGCGAGAGTGACCGAGAACTCGTTCATTTTTTTTTTTCTCAGGATCGTGAATGGCTTTTGAGTTGGGAGATCAGGGCCGTAGTTAGCGCACCCGGTGCTACAATAGGCGGGTTGTGCGGCCTGGTGAATGAACCGGTGTGCTCGGCCATGCCGGCCGTCAATGGTGACCTGTCGTCGACTCTTGCTACATTAACTCCTTTACAAATCCGCCTGTTACAAATCCTCCCGCCTTTAACGAGGCCCCCTCTTAAACGCTTCGACACCTCGTCCCGTCGATGCTTGACATCGCTATACGCAAGCTCGTCGCCACGTGCCCGACGAGATCCTCGGCTCGCGCCGATCCGGTCTCGCGGTGCAACGAGAATTCACGCACGGTACCAACGCGAAGCGAATGAAATTCGGAGTCAAACGAGACGAGATGATCGAAATTGAAATCAAATACCGGATGGGACGATTGAATCTTAATACGTTTACCGCGCCTGGCGGTTCGTGATAATCGAAATTTTTTAAGACGTTTGTAAAACATATAATTACCATCTGACATACAATTCTGAGTGACATAAATAGCTACATAACAATATAAAAGGTGCGCTAAAGTCAACACACTTCCATGAGGATATACAGTCATTTAATATCATATTATACAATTATTTCGTCATGGTAACGAAAATTCCACACGTAATTAAGACATTTAAAACTGCAGACAGCGCAATAAACGGGATAATTCGCGTAATTTTATATTCGCGTTGCGAAGTTTCAGGAGACTTAATTATCCAGGACATCCAAGACGCGTCCGCGCTTTGTATGACCAAGTAATAACCGAGGGACACCTGTATTTTCGTCAGAGTGGATACTTTGTAACGAAATGCGCGTCGCTTAGCACCGGTCGGCTCAAATATTTACTCGTGGCGCAGACGCGGGCTTGTCCCTCCTCGAGCTGTATGATAAACTATTTGGATTATACATTCCTGCGTGCGCGCTCGATGTTCACGAGCGACTCGCGCGTGCCATCGGTTTTTCAACTTTAACCATCGACGGATTCAAGTGTCCGTCACTCTGCTGTCGTTTCTGGCACTGCCTAATCTAACTAAACACATCTCGAATCTGATCTTAAAACGGGAGCGTGTCACGATTCGCGGCATACCTCGTCGAGTGGATCGGTTCATCGTCGAAACGCGCTCTCTAAAATCCTCTCGGAGATTATCCTATAGAAATCTATTCGTTTAATTTCAAGTTTTTTAGCCGAGTAAAAAGATAAATCTGTAAAAGAGAGAGAGAGAGATAGAGAGTCTGCAAGAAAGAAAAAGTTTTTTTTACAGAGAGCGATTCGTCGGGAAAGATACTAATATAGTCGCGTATCTTGCATCTGGACCTCGCTAGAATAACCAGCTCGGCTCGAGAAACGGCTAACGCGGCTCTTCCTCCTAATCCGCTACATCGACCAGACTCCATTAATCCTCGTAATTATTCGCGTCGCGATTGTCCAACATTGCGAGACAGAATTAGTCCGCGGCAGAGATATCATCCCCAAGCGATTTCCACCTGTCTGTCCGTCCGTCCGGATGCCGTCGCTCCCCGGCACGGCGACGATCGCGCCCGCATCTCTGGCGAAAACTCCGTCATCGTCGCGGAGACCAAGTCGCCTCGACGCGCGCCGTAAATCACGGGTCCCTGCGCCCCTCTCGCGACCGGGTGATCTTTCAGATTTAATTCGGTACTAACATAATTAGCGGCGATGGCATCAGGCGCGCACGCCTCGTCTCGCTCTGCTCGCAGCACCTGCCGTGCTCGCGAGTCCCTTCCTCCCTCCCCCTCGGAGAAATATAGCCGGGGATCGTTCTCCTCAGCTATATTTCTCCGTCTCGTCCGACTCCGCTCCGCCGCCGCGCCGCGGCCGTTCCCGCTCCGCTCTTTCTCCGCCTTGTCGGGGGAGAGGTTCCACCCCTGCTTTCCGCTTTCTACTCTCGCGAATATCGCCCGGATAAATCGGCGAGCGGCCAAATGGAGAAGAGAAGCGATGCCGGCCGACGACGTGGGCTTTCAGCGCCAATTACCAGTCGCCCTCCCTCCCTGAATGACTCGATAAAGACTGCAATACGGACGAAAAAGAACGGGGCGGCGAATGGACGCGCGTGTGTTTCGCGTGCTATTTCGGATGATATTTTTTTTCATTTGTCTGCCAATTTTCACGTTTATTTCGTCAACGCCAACCGATATCGCGTCCGAGCGTCACAAATAACGTAGATAGATCAGGTTCTAATATATTTTGTAAATTGTTTAATTTCTTAACGTCTCTCTTTGAGAAAGCAGTAGCGCTTTTTAAAAGCTCTTAATAAAAAGATCGTACATAATAAAATTTAGAGCAGATTACGTAAACTAATACTCAAAGTTTTCGTCAAGTGCCTGCCAATTTTAAAACGCGATATTTCGTGGTATTTATTCTTTGTTTACTGCCACTTTGTTTAATTTGTCCTTGTGTATAAGGAAAAATCTGGCAATAAAATCATAACTGAAAATCTTAGTTCTCGGAATATGAAAATTAATAATGATATATCATTGTGATTTAATCCTCACTATTTTTCAAGAAATCTTATCTCATTATGGAATCATCACTATACGCTAATCGTAAATCTTTTTAATGGCTTTATATTACATAATTACACGCCGCTTACAAAATGCGTACCTTGCAGCAGCTTGCCCACAGCATCGTCCAAGGAGTTATTGCTGCCGTGCTCGTTGCTAGAAGAACTGGCTTTGCCCTCCAATGACGGCAAGCCGTTGTTATTGTGATGGGCCTCCATTTTTATTTCCGTTAAACGCGAAAGACACTCTCACTGACGACGGTCGATGCCCACGATCACAAAAAACTATATTTTTCATAGATTACGAAGATTCGCGAACTCAAGAATGCAAAAATATCACTCGAATAATTATCGATAAATCAAATGACAAATTTCGACGAGACATCGCAGATTAAAATACATCTCGTCGGATATCAGTATCGCAGATAAGCGGGATTCTCAGTAAGAGATATTCGTCGCAGGAAGAGCGAGGAGCTCGATAATCGAGGGTTATCAGGGCGCGATTTATCGGGTCGGGTAGGTCGCCGAATCTTCTTTATGGCTACTTAGTCGACCTCGCGCGACCTTATCCGCATCGAATATGTATATGTATAAATATATTTTTTTTCCTTATCCTGATTGATTAAATCGATTCCCGCGAACTCGTAGATCACTCAGAGATTCACTTCATTATTGGCTCCGGGAAGCATTAGATGGAAATCGATGCGACGGGTACGTGATGCGTCGTAGAGAAGAGGAGAGAATTTCTCTCTTCAGGAATCCCCCGAACTCGGTAGCACCTCGACTTATCTTTCTCGTCAATGGATCCTATCTCGAGGATTCTGCGTCTTTCTTGCATTCGATGAGCCGAGAGACGGCTCAAGAGTCGTCGTGGGGCACGTTACTTCGAGGGGTGGCACATCGAGCGGGAGAAGATTCGTCCTGGCCGATCTCGAGAACATCGAGTCGCGTCATAGTTGGATCCACGGCGTCTCTTAATCGCTTCTCTTTTCCTCTCTTTCTCGTTATCGGTTATCGAAGGCGGGAGGTAGTGTAAACTGAGACGCCGTGTCGTCCCTTATCCCGATCTCTACCTCGCGACATCGAATGGACGACACCCGAGGTCGGGAGACGCGGACGGCGCGGCGGTGTACTGGCGAATCAGGTAAACTCCGATGGCCGACTGATCGGCCGGGAGGAGAGACGCGACGATGGACCCGATGGGATTCAGGGAGGCGAAGGAAGCCGTCCGCGCGGCTCGCAGCCGCACAGGTTGGTCCACGGGTTGGAAGAGGCCGAGGCGAGAGACGAGACGAGAGCGCACGTCTGGCACACGCACCGAAACCGTCGGGCGGATGGCAGACCGTCCGCGGAGGCGGTTCCGTGGACCACCTACCTCTGGTGGGGGAGACACGTAGGATCTTTCTCCTTTCTCTTCTTCACCGTCCTTCGGCCTCCTCTCTTTCTCTTCGTCGTCGCGTCGTACAATTCCTCGTGCCCGCGTCGGCCTCTTGGCCGTATCCTGCGGTGCGATCCTGCGCGTCTCTGCGCCGCAATTCTCCCCCGCAAATTTCCGACGCTTCTTTCTCCGTGGAAAACCGTGAAATCTGAGATTCCTGTGAGATCACGAAGCCGCGCCTCGTCATCGAGTGTGTTTTTCTCTCTTTTCTTTCTATTTTACTAAATATGCAGGAAGGATACATATGTATCTTCTAAACAATACGCGTGCTGCTTTTAGCGAAAATGCACAGAAAAATTGAATATTAATGATAGATTCTTTGGCCCATTTTAAGGAATTTTTTTCTTGGAAATTAGAATACTAATAATTTTTTTAATTACACGGAAAAAACGATTTTGTTCAAAGGTCTAAAAATTTGGCTAAAAACAGATCTGAAAATAATTTTTTATTGAATCATCAAAATAATTTGTTAGAATGTTAAAACCGATAAGCATTGTTTAAAACGTTTTGATATTCTAGCAATCAATTTGGCTTTTGCACAAAATTATTTTGATTATTGAACAAAAATTATTTTCAGATCTGGATGCAGCAAAATTATTCTTTCCGTGTATGAGTGAATTATGAATGAAAAAAATTTCTTCGCGAATTTTCATTTCAGACAGAAAACGTCCATGAGATTATTTTAAAAGAGAATTTGAGGGAATTTTTTATTTTGGTTTTTATTTATAAATTTTAATCGAAAAAGGGAAAAAGAAATATATATGATGTTATTTATAAAAACGTTTCCTGAATGTTTGTTACTGTATTGTAATAATCTATAGATCCCACAGATAATACGCATCCGGCTTACGATATCCACTTTGCGATTTGTCCGCGACGAAGCATCGACTAATTACCGTCCGTTTGTTGTCGCGAACGTGTGGATCGTACGTGAAAAGGTCGCTGGAAAGTGGACCGCTAGTTTATTGATCGTACGCGAATAAATGATTAATGATAAGGGCCAGCAGAAGATTTTCACGCACACATTGAGCGTGACTGTTATTTACACAGAAAGAATGCTAAATTTATGAAAATTAGGCCAGATACAGATCTGAAAATAATTATGTTGGACCATCAAAATAATTATAATACTGCAAAAAGTTAATATTCTCGTAATCAATTTTAGCGTCCAATATTATAATTATATGGTTGAACATAATTATTTTTAGATTTGTATCTGAACTTAATTGTTATATACTTCAACAAAACTGTTCTTTCTATGATATTGACAATCCTCAAGCTATCTATTTGGCAAAAGTCTCGTAACCGCGCGATCGCGATTGTGTGCTCGCCAAAAACGAAGCAATTATACCCATTTCGCTCCAAATATTCATCGTCGTTGAAGCATTTTCCTTTCGGCGCGTCCCGTAAACGCGCGAGAATAACGTCGCGCGTCGGGACGGAATGCGAAAAAAGTGCGCGCGACAAAATAGAGCAGCATGATCCTCGGGGGGCGAGGAAAGGAGCAAGAGAAGAGAGCACCGTGCGCGCGAGCCTCGAAGCCGTTTCCCTCCTCCGTCCGACAGTCCCGAAAGGCCGAGCCTAATTATACAACGAATTTAATGAATGAGTGAGCTAGCAAATACAGTGGCTCATACAAACCATGGGCGTATATAAACCACGGTCAATGCCGTGTGGCGGCTTTTGTGGCGAGATCAAAGAGAGCATCTCTTGCGCTCGCACTTTGCGGGATTAACTCGCGCTACCACTGGCGCGTGAACGCACGCGAGTGCGCGCGACCCTCGCGGAGTATACCCTCGCGGATTAAAGATTAACGGCATTCCTGTACGGAGTGCTCCACGCCAAGAGCGCAGAGAGCAGTCGTCGCAATCTGCTCCAATCTTTCGTAATTGTACGCAAATATGAATGGTTGGAACGCGGGCTAGACTAACACGGCGAAACTGACACGTTCGGCAATTCCTGTTCGATAAAGGATAACCGGGCAAGATAATTCATTTGTAAATAGGCATCAGTGGAAATCTTTTTGAATCTTGTCGGGACATTTAGAAAATAAAAAAAATGTAAATTTTTCTTTTACGTCTCTGAGCTTGGCTTAGCTGAAACTGCAATAAAGCTTGGAAATGATGATAAGGAAACAATTTTTATCTATATATTGGCAGATAAATACACAAAAGGATGCGATGCATATACATATATATAAAGTATATAATAAAATATAATAATTCATATAATTATATATAACAAAAGATATAAAGTATTGTTGTCAATAATTTTTATCTATAATTATCTATAAAGAGGTCATTACTTCTATGCCTTAATGAAAATAAAATCAATTACAATTAAAATCTGGATTGAACGACGTGATTAACATTCTCCGTCGATTTCCGCGCTCGTTCCTCGAGATTCTCGCTCGTCCGCACTGCACCCTCCAAATGTCTGTCCGGGCGCGCGCCCATATTATGCACCGGCCGCGGTGCGCCGGCAATGCAAATTTAGCCCGACGGGAACAATAATATTGATTTCACGAAGCCGGAATTTTGCTCTTGCCGAGATAAACATCCCGGCGCGCGCGCACGTGGCGTCAATATGCGCCTTTCCCCGGTGTAACGTAAGCGAGAATTCGTCTCTCTTTCTCTCTATCAGAACCGTTCCCGAGATGCAGCCTCGGCGTTTCCATCCGGGGAAACATTCGCGCCCGCTTCGCATTTGTGTCTCTTTATTTTGAGGTGATTATTACATCCTCTTTGAATATCCGAAGCCACATTAGCATCTGAATAAAGAATAACATGAAATTAAAAGAAATAAAATCAGATCTTTTTCTTTAGACGATACAGTAATAAAAAAATTTAATATAGAGAAAAAATTTAATGATTTAATCATTTACAAGACATAATTCAAAGATCTATAATCTGTCAAAGGAAAAGCAAAAGAATGAAGGATATGAAGGTAAAACTTGCATTCTGCATTTTCCAAGAAATGGTAAAGTATAAAAATGCTTATTATGGATTTGAATAAATTGTTTCGATTTTCTTTTTTATCTCAATTATTTGGAAAGACATTAGATATTAATTCTTGTTACATATGTTTATCTAAGAATGACAGACAATAAAAGATATTTATCTCTCAACTGGCTATCGAAAAAAAGTTAAGATTATGACTTTCGCTTTTGTGCTGATAATCTCGATAAGTATTAATTATATATCGTTATTGATATTACGGATGTAACAGAATCGGGAACGATGAGAGAGAGAGAGAGAGAGAGAGAGAGAATGATCGCCGTTGAAAGGTCCGGTCCGGTGTGGATCGAGGGATACCTACATATCGAATACACGGGCGGAATATACTCTCCCGCGCGCGGGTCGCCGCGATAAAATAATAATTCCAGCAATTCCTGGGGGTCGGGACGGCGTGCCGTCGGGCACTTGAAAGGATTCCCGTGGGCGGGGAACGGGGGAGTCGGCGGAGCCGGGTACCCGACACATGTAGCCCCCCGGGTGGCGAGCACCGGCGACTCGCGCACGGACCCCCAACGGAGACACGAGCCTCGAGACATTCTGCGCCGTCATCATCGCGTCCCGGCAACGTCATTGCGTAGTACATGAGGCCGATAGCTACACGTGTACGGGTGTACGCGTGTCGGCAAACACGCACGTACGCGCAACGCGACCCGATTTTTCTCGGATCGTGATTAAATTATTTTCACAAGTTAACGCGCGTGAGTTTCAGTCGAAAACTGACCCGCGGAAGAGTAATGATAATTATTAAAGTGCTGATCTTTGATTTTAGCGACGAATCTGTCGCGGTTTGATAGGTAACTGAAGGATATCCACGCGCAGTTAAGTACGAGTTGGAGAGGTAATTCTTAAAGCTGAGAAAATTAAACTTTGATCGATCCTTGCGGAATTAATCTTTTGGTCAATCCTTTTCTTCTTGAAAGACAGCTACAGATTATTACGTGTGATAATTTATTTGAAGACTAACTATGAAGATTACTAATTTCAATGGCGGTGATTTGACTTCTCCTTTAAACGCAGACGACAAATTCGCTTTCCGATTTTACGGGGAATACAAAAATATAAAGTAGGTCTCGCTGTGAGAAATGACAAATCGGCCGTCGACTACTCTTATTTGAAATGCGTTTCGTATAGTGTTGCGCCTAGAATGCGTTTTCAGTAGCTATAAATATGTATTGTGACTTATAATTAGATTAGATAATATTCCTGGCATGTAGTTGCTGTACGAATATATCATATTTCTCTTATATATTATTTTATTATCTCTTATTTTCTCTTAATTTTCTTATATTATTTTAAATAAAATAATATAAAATGGATTGATAGAAAGTATAGATTAATAGATAGATATCTTAATCTCTTTATTTTCGAAAATTGATTGTATCTAAAAACGTACGTACAGCTTCTTATCCGTAAATCTTTCTCGCTACGCCTAATTATTATTGTGAAACTCAGTCGATTGCTATTGCTTTCTAATTAATTCGCTCGGGCTTCCCGCACTAATGCTTACGAAATCGTTAATTACAATCGACTTGATTAATGACTCGAGCTGCGTTCCAGAGAGACAGTTGCCTGAGCGTACCAATACGTGTCAAGATTTATGCGTTCAAAGATGCAAATGCAATTGACAAATATTAAAGGAGACATCCCTATTATACTTTGCTAACAAAAGTAATAAAAATAATATATTCTTTCAAGAGACGCTGTGCAATTTACGTCACATATTTGTAATTAATAAGTGTGATCAATTAATTAAATAACAAATTATATTCCAAATGACTTTATTAGTAGACATTTAAAAAACAGCTTTGTATTTTATTTAAAAATAAGAATTAAATGGGATAATTAATAACGCTGTCGCGAGAACAAGATGTCTACAAAAAATTTTTTTAATCATAGAGATGACGTTCATTAACTTAATGATACCATAATCTGGCCTTTCTACAAAATTTACACATGGCTGTTTTCTTCCGTATGTCTATAAACTGAGAAGGATTCAATGTATAAAAATATGAGAGGTAAATACATTTGCAAAATCGCAAGTATGAAGCAAGATATCGTAAATGATCCTCGCGAACTGCGGATTGTCTCTCGTCTACACGTCGAAGCTTTCGTTTCCTCGCCGAAACGTAAACCTCAAATGTCCGGTCGCCGCGAGGGTCGGCCGATGAGTGCAGCGTGCAATTGTGAATGCAACCGGTCTTGATGCGGCGCGTACTCTCCTCCGCGCGACGTCATAATTGCGGCCGACCGCCGGACCAATCGACGAGACCACGGTCGAAAGAACGGAGATGATCGCAACCAGGAACGGCGGAGAACTGAAGAGCTGCAGAAGGTGGGAAGGAGAGGGAAGGTGGGCGAGAAGAAGAGGGACGAGGCGAGAGATAGGTGGAGCGAGCAGAAACACGATTGGTCCCATCCTCCCGGAGGATATCGTAGCCATGGAAACTCTCTTGTCAGCAAAGAGCACCGAAATATAAATGGAATGACCGGCGATCTCCGACAGCCTGAAGGGGAAGGGAACGCGGTATAGTGAGGAAGGGGAGATGATCTATCCGAGAACAGAAAGAGAGAGAGAGAGAGAGAGAGAGGAGAGAGGGAGAAATCGCGATATTATTAACATCCGATTGTCGGTCAGCGAGAGTGGTCTCTCGCGCGAAAAAAAATGCCAGGATTGCAGTCAGATGGTGCAACACATTGTTGCAGGACACCCTTTCTTTGGCCAACGAGATGGTGTCCGCATTCTTTGTTTTCCTTTCTTTAACGTTGCATCATCAATGCAGTCTAGTCTTGAAAAAATATATATAAAACGCTTACGTATATTAAAATAAAAAATGTTGGGGAAAGTTTTGAAAGAGATAACCGTAACACGTATTAATGTAACTCGTACTATAGAATTAAGTCGATGAAAAAAGGCTGAAAGGAACGCACCACAAAAGTGATGTTTATTTGGTACTCGAGACTCTATGTCGCAGTAAAAATTTTTATGTACTGCGCTTGTTAGATCACATATACCTATTTTCCTCGTTAATTTTTATTACATACTCACGCGTCGAAGTGTGCTTTTATTTTTATTCTCAAATACTTGAGGAATTTATTCCTTTTTCAATGAATAGATCTCAACACAGATCTCCAGTTTATTAATCAATTGTAATAATTCTTCTATAATTACTATTTAATTAAGAGGAACTTTATCGCAATGATCGACCGCGTCTAAATATATGAGGATTAAAGAATTATACGATTGCAGTCCCTCCCACTATATATGTTGGCGAAGATGCGCTTTCGCTCGTAAGTGGATTACGATAACGTGGAATCTTTCCATTGACGGTGCATTACAATACGAAGAAGCAAGAAAAAATATAACGGCCTCGCGGGTGCCGCCTTATTTGGCCGCGTTCCTCGTCGCGAGGCGACGACGAAGCCGGCGAACACGACGGACGGCCGCGAGATACGCGGAGCGAATGCCTCGTGCCTCTCCTCGTCTCGTCTCGCTTCCACCCGCGAGATATATCCCGGCCACTTCCACCGCCGCAGCCGCGCCGCCGCCGCCGCCGCCGCCGCCGCCGCCGTCGTCTCCCTCCCGGTGCACGCGACCGCGTCGCCGGGACTTCACGGAGCAACAAGTGTTACCAGCGCGCTGCCTTCGCCCCGCCCCCAAAACGAGCCGCAGCCGAGCCGAGCTGAACGATGTCAGGCCTCGTGGTGGAAACTGCCCCGGGGCGATGCAACCACCTCACTCGAGCGCCGATCGCGCGACAAGCGACCCGCCGAAACCCCGGTAGAGCTCGAACGCGGCGCGAGTTACCGCGAGAGTTGATGCGAACGCGCGCCCCGTCGTCGTCCCGGTCCGGAGTTCTCGGTGTCGATATGTGAAACTGTTTGGACGCCGCTACACGGAAGATCTCTCCGAGACTCTGCGAGAAAGGTGCGAAGTCGCGGTCGTCTACGGCGCACGCGAATAGGCTTGGACCGGCGCGAGAGTTAACGGTTCCCTACGATCGAACGAACGGATGTCGTAGAAATCGTCGCAGACTCTCGGTGAATTCCGCGAACGCTTCCGGACAATTTCGATTCTGGTGGACGTCTACGAGCGATCTCGCGACGCGACGGTACTTGGATCCGTTTGCCTCCTCTCGAAGGATACGGATGGATGGTACTTTGAAACTGGAATGATGCAAGAAAGATCCGCTTAAACGTCAGTGATATCCGTCTACCGAGACACGTGTCAACTGATCGTGAGCGAATCGAGGATCCGCTAGCTCGAAGCGAGAGGCAGTCGCTCGGGCGAGCGAAGTGCAACGATCTACCGGGAAGGATAAGAGGATCGCTATAACGCATCGAGGAAAACTGTCAATTTCACTCCAATCTCGCCTTCTCGGGAAGGAGACCAGGAGCGCGAGACTCTTTCGAGACGGACAAAGAGGAACGGCGCGGCGCAGATAAGAAGCGACCGGAGTTCGGCGAACTGCGACGAGCATAAAAGGCGACCGACGCTGATAGAAGAAGCTCCGCTGCTACGGAGTCACGCGTGCGCGCGCGTGCGTGATACGCGCGGTGTCAATCACGAGTGAAATTGATTATGCAAACGTGACAATCGGCCCGAGAGTCTCGTGTGACGTCCCAAAAACGTCTCCACAAAGAAGGAGAGGCGAGATCTCGCGATCAAGTAAAAACCGTGGCCGCGCGGCAGCTGACGAAACTTATCGTCGCGGGACGCGAGAGCGGTGAAACGCGGGGAAACGGAAGCCTCAAGACACGCTCACCGCGATGATAAGGCGATAACAAAAGCGGCGGCGATATCGCGGCGATGACAAATTGATCGATCGAGGCTGCCTACTCCTTCTCGTCACCGCGGCTGATACGAGATGAGACGTGCTTTCCGCGTGCTGTCGCGCGCGCGATAAATCGGCAGGACACTGATCGTGTTGCGTACCGTATATACGGCACCCTTCGACACCCTCGACACCTCGGGCCGCGACCGGCCACCTTCCGTTGTTCGCGCGACGTTCACGCGACGAAGGGGATGAAGATGAACGACGTCAAGCCGGAGAGCAGCGGCGCGTCGATTTCGCCGACGGGCGGCAATAATAATAACAACAACAACAACAATAACAATAATAATAGCATCAACGGGAACGGCAAAGCGTCGGCGACGGCCGCCGCCGCAGCAGCCGCTGCCGCCGCGGCGACGGTGGCCGCTAATGGCGGCGAGGGGATCAGCGCCGCCGTCGCAAAGGTTCTTCAAGGATACGACTGGACTCTGGTACCTGTTGCCACCAAGTAAGTGTATCGCATGGCAAACTCGTAGTTTCTTCTCATCTTTAATTCGAGAATCATCGTTCGAGCGTTGGAATTCGAAAAATCACTCGTGCGCTTCGGCATAATCACTCGCATAATCTTTTTATAAGCTTATCTTATCGTACGACAAATTTTTCAAGCGTGTTAATTGGCTGCAGAATAGAGAAATTCTCGAGTAGCCAGAACTTCTCTAGCTTGCGGCCAACAAAGCTCGAAAAATTTCTTGTACGACAAATGTAATAATATCCTTAAGCTGCAAGCTTCTTCAGCACTTTAGACGTTCTATTAGAATTTGAAAAGAGAATGACAGAAAAAGATCCTGTCCATCGTGAAAAAATTTCAACGAATCGAAGTAGCTGAGAAAAATTAATATGGCTGATGTTTACGCAAAGTTATACTTAAAAAAAATATATATAAGCATCGAAATGAAATATCAACGTGAAAAGTATATGTATAGGACGTTTTATTCGTCACGTATACCTAATGAGAACATTAGAAGAATTAATGAAATATCAACGTGAAAAATATATGTATATAGGATGTTTATTCGTTACGTATACCTAATGTTATCTCATTAGATATACGTGACGAATAAAACGTTCTATACATATATTTTTCACGTTGATATTTCATTTCGATGCTTTTATATATTTTTTTTTAGAGCGTAACGATTAATGAATCACTGAAATAAAAAAGAGAGATATTTCTTTTTTTTCTCCTCTACCTTTCCGTATACTCGATCGTCAATGTTTTTCGCGAAGCGTCTTAATCGCCGTGAGTCGTATTAGCGACGCGTTAACATAGACACGCACGCATGTGGCCGTGCTGTTAAGTCTCGCGGACTTAACTCGCGCGAGGGGGAAAAAAACTGAGAGAAACAAGGAGGAGGAACGGGCGTGCGACGGAGCGTCAACGGGGGAGAGGTAGAGGGCGAGGTAGCGCGCGGCGCGGTCTTAAAAATACGTAACGCTAACTCAATTATGACGCACTCGTTTCCCCGGCCTGGGAAACGCGGGTCTCGCGGAAAAATGTCCTCGGTCGCCAATTAACGCAAATTGGCTAATTAATGCCCGATCGCCGCGTCCTGCGCGGCCGCGTCGGCCGGCCCTCGTTCCTCCATCGTGGGAAGGCAAACGGTCTTAAAATAGCGACCTGATAACGATCCGAAAGAGAAAGAGAGAGAAAAAGGAAAAAAAAGAGAAAAGAAAGAATAAATAAAATGCTATTTCTTCCTGCATTTTAGAAGCGGAGTCATCGAGCGGTGTCCTCGGCGCGTCACTCGGCGCTCGCCGATGAAAAATCATTAGATCGCCGGCGAACTCGATAAAATCGCGACCTCGATACGCGGAAAGTTGTGCAACACGCTTTCCGATCCACCGGTCGTCATAATGGCTGCCGATGGCGCGATTTGGTATTTTCAGTTGCCGCGACAATCGTAATTGCTCTGCTTAAAAAAAAAACGGACTGAAAGAATCTATCGGGAAGATTTAAAAAATATCGGAAAAGGTATTTGAAATGTATCTTATCGAAGCGTCTACATTATATATGTTACGTAAAACGGAAATTGCGTTTGGATGTTAATTGCATTGCGCAAAACTAATAATAAAATTTTAAATACCTAAAAAGTTCTATTGATGTCCGCAAGAAAATCACAATAAAAGGTTTGAACATATCTTAACTCGGGAATAATCGGGGACTTTGAAGCTGCACGTGACTGGCAAAAGAATTTCAATTTAGCTCCACGGTGTATTTATAAAGCAAGTCATTCTCTTAGAGACATATCAGGAACTGTGAAATTCTCTAAAATATATAGCCGGAAGTCTATTTCAAATGATATCGAAACATGGAACGTTGATTTCCCCGAGGGCGATGTATGAAAAAGATTGTGATTTCATCGTATAATCTCAACGTCGTTAAACGCGTACAAAAAGAATGATCCGGAAAAGATCGTGGCTGTCGCGTGCGTCGTAGATAAGACGCTGGAAAAATTCAACGGAATGAGCGAGGAGGAGCGATTACGCGCTTAGGTACGCGGTTAGATCATAGAGGAGAATGGGCCACGGACGGAAATCACAGAGTGTATCGTTACGCGCGCTTATCGCTAACCCTCAATTACGGGGTTATCTCAGGAGAAGGGAGGGGTAGAGGGGAGGAGTTAGACGCTCAGGGGTGCGGTGTTTATTCCCGGCGAGATAGAGTTCTGATAAAATCGACCGGTTTTTTAATTCCCATGGATTTCCATGAGAGCACGTCGTGCGGAAGCTGAGATCGTGTCGTCGTATTTCATTTCGAACATTAATTCGCGATTGTTGAATGCAAAAATGTGCGTTCGGCGAAAATCGTCATTCAAGATGCACGATAGAATTATTGAGTTGTCACACGTTACACGATCTTTTTTTCCTTCTTTTTTTTTTTTTAATTATTCGCGTGATATCGTTCTTCGTGTTCTCGCCGCTCTGCAAGGCAGCGGCATTCGTGCCATTTTGCCACGGTACCACGCCTACGGTCGCGAACGCAGAGTCGCACGCATCGTACGTGTATTTCTTCTTCTTCTCCTTTTTTTTGCGTTTATCCAGGTAAAGCGCGCGCTCGCGTCGTGTGTACCGCGCGCTCGCGTCGAGAAGCGCCGTGAAAACCCTCGTTAGTGAGCCCACGCTAATTACCAACGGCTCCGCGGGTTTACACACGGATTTAACGCCCCTCTCATTTCAAAGAGGCCGAAATGTACCCGGCGGGGACCGCTTTCGAATCCTTGAGAGAGACGTGCGCCGGAGTCCTTTTCACCCGCGTTACGCGCGTTCGCCACGCTTATCCCCGTGTAATCCCCCGCGCGAATCGAACGCTTTATAGGTCCGATTACGTCCCCTACGGGACTGTATAACCGCTCCTTGCTGTATAGCCAGTCCGGCCAGTCCTTCGGCCCTTCCGATTTCCCTTTAGCCGAAATTCTCCGGAAAGCGATATCCTTCCACGCCTGATGTGTGTGTCGGGAATAAATCACGACAAACATACACTCTCGTAAATATATATGACTTATATGCGCACTGATCTGATATTATTTACGTATCGCCGGTACCGTTACACCCGATCAATGCCTCCGTACCTTAATTCGATTGCTTCGACAGTATTTTAAGAAAGCATAACAAGCACCGCCTATCTCTTTATCTGCCTAACGATTCCCGACAGAAAATAACCTCGTATACCGTATGCCGCCGCCCGTTCTTCGCGCCTCACGGCCGTCCGGCTCGGGCCGGGCGGCCGCGCGCGAGTCCTTAAAGAATCCTCGATTAAGGGTAAAAAGAAAAACAGGGAGAGAAAGGGAGAGGGAGAGGCGGGGGGGGAGGGAAACGGGGGCTCAGGATATCTCTCCCGGCGCGGCAATCACGTCAGTCACGTCGATCCCCGGCTCTGGACGGGGCAAAAGTTTTATGAAGTCATCTTCTCGGAAAGAAAGGGATACGTCCATTCCTACCCGTCACACGTCGGCAGCCACGGTGTTATTTTAAGGCCGGTTTTAAACGCTCCGCGCCGCTCGCCAGGATGACCCGGGGGTAGCCCGCGCGCGGAGCAGAACCCGATACGGACACGTATGTGTATGCGCGTGTATGTATATACCGTGCCCCGTCGCGCCTCTGGTTATTTTCTTCTGCAAGTCACCAGATTATCCGCCAGAACAGCCGACCGGGTAGGTAGATAGAGAGAACGAGAGAGAGAGAGAGAGAAAGAGAGAGAGATATCCTCGCCGTTGAATTTAGCTTTAGATTTCTATCAAACGATCTGAAAAATTCGTCGTTGATATTACATATGCTTTTCAAGTCGTCGCGAGAGCAGAAATCCACGCGATTCTGTAAAAATTTGAAGGGGCATGACATACAATGACTCACGAAACTAATCAAATGTACACAATAATTATCTACGATTGATTGATTCGAAGAAAGCAATCGATCGAAAACAGCCTTTTAATGTCATCGTAACATATAAGCAAACAAATATCTATGATCTTGTAGCAGATATCTTCATTCACGAATTTTCAAAACAAATTTGAAACGGTGATATGATTTGATCAGTTACATGAGGCATTATTTATGATACAAAAATATTTTTACAGCGAGAGACATTAATTGAAAGCAGTAAAATTAAATTGTTAACTGTTAAAAGGATAAGACAACGCAGTTACAACGTTAAAATTACGTTGCATAAGAATCTCGTGAACTTTCGCGGATCGAATTAATTTTGCTGAGCGAGCTAAACTGACGATCATCGTAATAACAAAATGAAAGGCTTAATATTGAAGGCATAATATTGAAGAAAAATTGCTTTAATACAGCTAGAATTTTGCGTACGTTCGCGTAAATTTGTGGAGAGGTGTATCGTTTCCAATGAAGATAATGTCTTCGAATTGCAGGGGCTCCGGCGACAAAAGGGCGGCCCACGTCAAGAGGCCTATGAACGCGTTTATGGTGTGGGCCCAGGCTGCAAGGCGAAAACTGGCCGATCAGTACCCTCAACTTCACAACGCCGAGCTGTCGAAAACACTGGGAAAGTTATGGCGGTGAGTGTCGCGCGTTCTTTGTGCTTGCGTCAATATTTTGAACCGTCAGGCGGAACGGTAGCGTAAATCACAGTAACGTGACAAATTCTAGGGAGAGGCATGACCGTTTAATTATTTTAGATCGGCGCAAAATCTTAAATGCTTTACAATCTGCGTTAGAATTTATGTACTTAACATTTATAATCTATTATTATTTTCTTCCGAAATTACTCGATTACATAATATAATTCTTGTGTTTTATATACTTTTTTTCTGTCTTTGTTAGAATTATTTAGCTCCAAATATGATTTAACTAAATCCCTGCTTGTAATTTAATATAAATTTAATATAAACTTTTGCTTAAATTTTTCTTTTTTCTCGATTCGATTTTTATTTCGATAAAAGTCGCGTAGTTGAGAATTAAACGTAAGTGCGCACTCAAGTGTTCAGCGGCCTCCCTGCCTCGGCGGAAAGACACTGTTTCGATAAAATTAATCGGCACCACGTGTCTTCAATCGGATGCCTCTCCGTTCTCCCGATCTGATAAGCCCGATTCTCTCACAGATGCGAGGCTCGCCAGGCGGCGGCCAGCCATGCGAGAGAATCGCGCTCGCTAATCTTCGTTCGCGCTCGTCTCGTTCGAAGAAAATCGGATCGCGAGCATGGAAATATGCTGCAGATCGTTTCAACTGCCGTCAATTCGAAGCCAACCTGTGTGTTTATCGTCGATTCAACTATTTCAAGCACGTGCGTTGAATTCGCGCGAAGAAACAAGATAAAACTCCACCGACAAAAGACTGACGATTACAATTTAATTGCATTAATATTGATTTATAACGAAAAAATCGAAATTTTGCAAATAGGTACTAATTTATGTTTGTATAAAAGAAAATTTGGAGGTATTTCAAATCTTTTATTTACATATTTGTGGTAAATATACAGCAATTTTACGCTACGAAAGTTATTATACTTTCCTTACTGCAGCGGCTTTATATAGAAATTTAAAAAATCTTCAAGCTTTCTTTCACGATTGAGATAGAAAAAAAGAAGATAATGCTTTAACTGTTTTGGAATCATGCTCGATTTCGCTTGCGTAAGACACGTCGCAGGCGATCTCGATCAAAATCGCTGGGTCGGAAAGAGCTAATATCCAACGAGGATTGTGCGACGAAAGTTCGGAGTCACTGCGCGTTCCAATTCCCGCGACCACTTGTTCGTACGTAACCAGTTCTATTTTTACCAGCGAATTCGCGAATGCTTCTTCCTCGTTTCCTTTTTTTTTTTACTTTTGGAGTCAACGATACGCGTGTATGTACATATATGTGTATTAAACATACCCGTACCACGTGGCGCCTAAGCTGCACGTGGTACAAATGATCCTGCTTCTCGAGACGCGTGAACCCGTGGTCCCGCACATGTAACAGCGGAGAACATCTCTTCGCGTGACGTCGGCAACCCTCTCTTTACGTCGTAATTATTACCTAAAATATTCAAATTATTCCAAATAAAAAAAGAGATTTTCTAAGAGCAATACGAAATCGTTATGTCGGAGAAGCGACACGAGTTAAGGAGATTCAGATATATGCCAAAAGTCGTAAGACCATATATTGCATATATCTGAATTTCTGATTTCGTTGCTCTTAGAAAATCTCTTTTTTGTTTTCAAAATGTATTTAAATGTCCTTTCTTGCCTAAGGTAGATAATTTGAATGTTTTAGGTAATAATTTGAATATATATATATTTGCCTAACAAAATTAAGGTAACAAAAGGTAAGGAAAGATAGAAATCAAGAGGATGAGATATTCACACGCCAAGTAAATAAAACATAACGCAACATACGCACGGCATATAATTTCTGATACATCCTGTATACGCGGGCCCCGGGATGACTCGTGGACGACTCCGTTTCCTGGTTGGGACTAACGAGGTGCCCCAGTGGGCCATATAAACGATCATCAGAGGGACGCGCCGACAAGGACCCCCGTCGCGAATCATTTAATAACACCGGCCGCGATCGCGATCGCTCGCCAAAGATCGACGCTCGATATCACCCGGCGATTGTCACGGCGGAGCTTTCGCCGAAAGATAAGACGCCGCGCGCGCGCGCGCGCACGGCATTGAAGATCAATCGATTTTTTTTTCCTAACGCCGTATCGGGCCTCATTAGCGATCTATTGGTCTATAATCGCGCGCGTCGATGGGACCGCGAACGACGTTCACCGTTCATATGTGAGTTACCCGTTACTAGTCTATACGTGCGCGACTATAGACCTTGTATGGGAAGAAGAGGGAATACGTCGGAGACGAAATTGAAGATTTAGATGCGAAAACGACACGCGGTTTGCTTGCGTACAATTCGGATGAAACAAAAAGCCGTCCTTGAGACGTTACGTTGACCTACGGTTTTCGGCTCTTAAAAAGTCATTATTTAGCACCTTTTCGGCATGGACCTAGTGGCAATTAACATGTTCTCGTACAAACGCGTGAGGTATTTTTTCGTGACTGTGCCAAGGCCCCTGTAACACGCGCGAATGAAGTAGCCAAATCGTCTTCGAGCACTCGCGTCGCGGCGCAGCGCCGCGTAGTCGCGCGTAAAGGATCGAATTTGCGCGATCGATCGTCGATTGAGAGACGTCGTCGCCGCCGCGTCGCTCTGACGTTTTGATCCACCTTCGCGCAGAGACAAATGATACAGTCATCTTCGGTAATGAACACAGTGCTAGAGCGCTCGCGCTGCAGCGCTATACGCGCTCGGAGTTGCCTGCCAACCGCGATGGGAGCGATAAAACGGCGAAGCTCGACGAAGATCGCGCTTGCGGAGAGATCGGCGTATATGTATGTATGTACAAGATCGCAACGTCGATGGGGCGCGGTCGTTCACGAAATGACAAGTGGATAAAGGAGATATCGTTACACTTGAATTATAATGATGTTCGCGATCTTATGTATGTGTACATGCGAGAGGATAAAAGGATATATGCAGACAGTAAAGACGTATAAAAATGTAGAAAACATATAAAATCGTAATGCGTAGACATGAGGTAGTGAATTGTAATCTCTGTAAACAGAGATTGAAGCGAGATCACGACGGTAATTCGTAAAATTGTTTTGTAACTTATGCAACGAGAGAACGATATACGAGGAAGATCTAAAGCTGCGGTACAACGATAGGTCTCCTTTGACGTAGGAATTTTAATCGCAACTGCGCCAGTCGACCCGTCGAATCCTGACGGACTTCGACACCGACTTGTCTTACGTCAATCCTGATAAGAGGACCAGGTGCCTGGAAATAAATCTTCTTCTCGCGTTTCTGTCTCTCTATCTCTCTTTCTTTCTCGTCGTCTCGAAACATATCGCCATTCGGATACTCCAAACGCGATGTGTTTGTCGACAAAAGGAAAACAGATATCCCCCGGTTCATCCTTGGCGCGTGCTCGCAGCTGCCGGCCGGTTCCTGCCGGAGATAAAGGGGCCCCCGGGGGACCACAATAGGCGCCTTGTGTCCGTCAGGTGAATTTTTCCGAACCTGCCCCTCCGCAACCCCGGGCCCGCCGGCAAATAGCGCGTGACGAGAACAGGTAAATCCGCCTTATCTCCCGGAAGGAACGATTCCTCCGCACACGTCGGACTTCCCTCGAACGCGAGATATAGCTATTATCCTCGTCTCTCTTGCGGTAGCCGCTATCGGTTTCTCAAAAGTAAAGGCGCAAATTGCCATTTCGGCTACGACTGGAATTTCATAACCGTATCAAAGTATCACATATCAAAAATCATGGTATCTCCGCCTTTTTGTGAAACCATCATTAGTCGTAATTCTTTAATATTCAACATTATACGTCCTGTCAGACGATTATCGTCGCTTTGGCAGACTGGCTCAAAGAACGCTTCAAGAAAGTCGGACAATTTCGCGATTTGTCGACGGTTACTCGGGATGACAAGCGTGATAATTCAATTAGAATCCCGCGATGAGAGGATTCATCGAGATTGAGTTCCGCGCGACCTTCGGCCGTGTGAATTTCTCTCCTCCTCCTCTTCCTCCTGTCTCCTTTACGGGGTAACATCTGATACGTATGTACAAGTAACCTCGTGTAGAGATACTGAGGCACCCTACGAGAGGCAAGATCTAAATTAGCTGACCCTGCGTTGCATCTGGCGAGGAAAAAGAGAGAGGCTGCGACGTCGCTCGCTATATCGTCGTCGGCACCCATGCCGCGGCCGAAAAAAAGCCCGTGGCAAGTCCATTGACCAGATGGATTTTCTGTCTCCGTCTCTCCATCGCCCCTCTCGCTCCCTCCTTCTTTCTTGTCGGTGACAAAACACCGCCGGGTTAAAGCTTGAGATACGTGCCTTCAACGTGTGTCAACCCGCTCTCGAGAGCTTAGCTCCCGTCGTGGGATTTAAATCCCGTGCTTTGCGAATACTCCAGATGATGTATTACCCGCTTCCTCAAACGGTTCTCATGTCTATACATGTCTCTTCCACTCTATTTTGCACTTCGCGCGACGATTTATTAATTACGAAGCAGTTAAAGAAACATTATTAGCAATTGAACGAAGATATTCGAAAAGAATGAATGTGAAAGAGACATCAAGCTCGGAGGAAGCGGGCGCGCCGACGACGACCTGAATCGGAGATATCTTTTGCGGACGGGAGAAAGCGCGGCGAATCTGAGATTATTCTGCATCTCGCAGGATGAGTTTATTATTAATGCAATGACAGGGCGTTTAAAGAGCAAGAAATGTGAATCCCCGCTTAAGGCGGGGGGGGGAGGGGAAGGGGGCATAAGCCATCGGCGCTGGTGTGCAGCGCGACGGAAATCCTCAAAATCTCTCTCGGACGTTCTCTATTACACCGGAAAACCTTATCGGCCGCGGGGTTTTACGAGCTCCAGTGGGAATATAAACACAAAGAGCATTTAAGGGCCGTAACCCGTGCACCGAGCTCCGCCGCCGCCCGCGCGCGCCCGCGCCGCCCGTCGAGCCGCTCTCCGCGATGCGGACTATATAAGTTGTGTTGCGCGCCTTCGAGCGCCTTAACGCGTCCAGAAACACTAACCAGACCCCCCATTTCGACTCTTCGAGAGTATATATCAGACGCCGATGGAAACGCTCTCGTTCCGAGGCCTCTTCTGATGCCGGGTAGCGAGAGACGTGCTCGGCCACAAAACGCGAGAGGAGAGAGAGAACGGCGGGTGATCGCTCGCTTGTGTATACGCGCGACGTGAGCGTGAGAGACGTGAATCACATCGAGCCGATGACAGATTTCAACGGCCGAGCCCGGGAATTGCTTCGTGATGTATAGGTCTTAGAATTACAACATTCGGAAATTTCATGCCACGCCGGGGAAAACCCTGAACGCGTTTGAGCGTAGCTTGAAAGACACTGCAAAGCTCGTGTAATATGTATGGAAAATTACGTTTTATCCTGCAGGATAATGTAAATTTCTTTTACGATTGATTGCGTGCAGGCTCCTGTCCGACAATGACAAGAAACCCTTCATCGAGGAGGCCGACCGCCTGCGCGTTATCCACAAACGCGAGCACCCCGACTATAAGTATCAGCCCCGACGTCGGAAGCAGAACGGGCCGTCCTCTGGCCGCGAGGGCTCGCCCACGAGGAGCCAGAGCAACGTGACGTTCAGCGTTACCAGGTCGTTGAAGCAGGAGGACATGAGTCCTAGAGGCGTTCAAGGACCCAATTCACCGCAGAGTGGCGTGAGCTCTTCGCCACCCACGACACCCAGTCAGGGTCTCTCACCGCCGACACCCCCTACGACGCCCAGGGGACAGCACTACATCAATCAGGTATCCGCAGCGCGCTCCTTGTGATTGTTTTCTGATCGAAGTTTTGATGAGAGAGAAGCGATTTAGATTATTAGTATATCAATGATGACTCGCGTTTTTCTGCTATTTTAAGATTATTGTCGATAAGATTATTACAAATAAATATTAATAATACATAATAATTTAATTTAAAGTTTTCTTTAATTTTCACTTTGCGACCACTGTATTGAACGGAGAAAAAAGTAATCTTTTGTATTTCAAAACTATTTCTTGCAAATGAGCGAAGATTAAGTATTTCGTTCTCAATTTGGTCTAATCAGTTGAACTAACATGAATCACTAAAAAAACTTTTATTATTTGGAAGAATTTATAAAGATAAAAGTATCATATAATCGCGTACAGATTTGAATTGCTTGAAGAATTATGCGAAAGGCTACCGGAATGCATTATTTCGCGTGTCCAGGATCGCAAAGGATTAATTCTTCGATCTTTCGTAATTATTTAAAGCTATTTCGCACGCGGGCGAGCCGTTTGCATCTCCTAATCGTTGATTCCCCCGCGAAATGAAGACGTTTGATTCGCAGAACAATCAGCTTCCGCAGAACAACACGGTGTACTATCAGGAGTTGGTCGGCGGCACGCCGTCGAGCGAGTCCCCGCATCAGCAGCCGGCGGTCGATCTTCGGTACATCGAGGTCGGAGACGGCCTCCCCGGCGAGGACAACCAGTTGAACGGCCTCGGCACTTTGGGCGGGCTCGGCCTGAATCTCCCGGTGAACTTCCAGGAGTGCGAGGTCGAGAGCAACGAGCTCGACCAGTACTTACCGCCCCAGACCGCGCCGATACATCAGTACCCGCCCGTGCAAGTCACCACCGCCTCGCAATGGTTACTCAACAGGTAGAGAAAGAGAGAGACCGCCCGTAATTGCGCGCTCTTTCACAATGACTTCAAGTCGGTGGGTGCACCCTAAAAAGAACGTAGAGTCGACGGCGGCTCTTTCAACCGTTGCACTCAAAATAGAAAAAAAACTAACGCAATGCAAATCGAGAAATATTCTCACTTGTTACACGTACAATAATTATATTTTATATTTATAATTTTACACGTCCTCTCTTTATCCTTTGATTCTTTGATTCAAGCGTCATTCATTAACATCGGACGAAAGTTACAAGAGAGTAACACGCCGTATAACGGACCGGTAGATTTCCTGAAACTTATCCCCGCCGATCCCCCCC